TCGTCACTTTCGTTTGCGCTTATCTGGATGATATCAGCATTCCTTCGGACGGCCCAACTCTGGCCGATAGTTGCAATTGGTCTAGAGTTAAACATTAAAAAATGCGAACTTCACTGCCAAAGTTTATTTCAGGTGCCACATGCGCTGGCTGGAATACCCAGAGTTGGTGCATCAGAACTGAGTTTTTTAGGCACACCCTTGGTCGAGGGCGATTATCAAATAAAGTTTTTTGACCAAAAGCTCTCTGAGCTTAAATTTGCCCTGGGTCGTGTTTCCTGTCTTTCGGCCCATGATGCCTTGACTATTATCCGCAATGCCCTCAGTTTGCCCAAATTGATGTACTTCCTGCGTACATCCAAACACATTGACCCTTCTAAATTGGGCGAATTTGACGGAGCCCTGCGCACCGCCCTGTCGTCGATTTGCAATGTTCAAGTGACCGACAGTGGTTGGTCCCAGGCTCAGCTGCCGGTGCGATTTGGTGGGCTGGGGTTGCTTAGCGTGGTTCAGCTGGCTCCCGTTGTTTATAATTCTTCTGCCGCTGCCACTCTCGACCTGCAGTTTTCCCTGCTCTACCGGTTTTTTCGTTGCCGCGATATTCTTCCCCCAGTGTCCGCCCCGGGGGACCGTACGCACGTCCAAATTTTGAACAAAGAATATAAAAAAATCTTTTAAAATTTGTTGTCTTCATGCGGCGACGACTTTTCCACCGCTCGTTTGTTGGCCATGTCCAGCGTTGCCAGCTGTGGGTGGTTGAGATCGTGGCCCAACACCTCTGTGGGCACCAGGCTTGACGACGAGTCTGTGAGATTTGCCATTGGCTTCAGACTTGGCCTGGTCATTCAGAATAAATACACGTGCCGATGTGGCGCAGGGGCGGACGAGTTTGGGCACCACGGTTTGGTTTGTCGCCTGGGTGGGGGCCGTCAACTACGTCACTCTGCGCTAAACGAAAACATTTGTCGGCTCTTCTCCAAGGCTTCAATCCCGGTTCTCAAGGAACCATCCGGCATTTCTGCGCATAATGGTAGGTGCCCGAACGGATGAGAGCCGGCAGATGTTTGGCGTGGGATGTTACGGTCCCTGGCACCCTCGCCAAACGATACGTAAACCTGACAAGTAAAAAATGCGGTATGGCCGCGGCCAGGGCAGCGGACGAGAAAATGAAAAAATATGGGAACGCCCTCCCCTCGATGGAATTCTTGCCAATATGTATCGAGGTTCTCGGCCCGATGGACCCCAACACCCTTAAATTTCTTAAGGCAATATGCAAAATGATCAGCGTCAGATCAGGCGACAGCAGGGAACTGTTTTTTGCAACTAACCACATTTCGTGCTTGTTGCAGCGGTTCCTGCGCGTCTGTGTGCTTGAAAATATCCAACTGAATGCCGACATGTGCAATTAACGACAAATCAAAGTGTTGATCCATTTGTTACTTGATGTTTGACGGTTCAGTGTCACTCATCATGTTTTGGGTTTAACATACATACATACATACATACATACATACATACATACATACATACATACATACATACATACATACATACATACATACATACATACATACATACATACATACATACATACATACATACAAAAAGACACACATACATACATGCGTAAGCACACACACGTTATCACACACACACACACACACATGAACACATACATAATTTAGAAAAAATATATATTGCTTTTTTGGCGAATATGTCTGTTAAAACATACAAACCAATAATGAGCGATTCTTAAAATTTAATCCTCTACTTGTCTTTCAAACTAACCAGCATGTGAGTATTATTATTCGTTATTTTTTTTCTTAGTTTGCTTACATTTGCATTTGATAGATGACGTTTAAAAATGAATGGAGGAATGAAGGAGTGAATGAATGAATGAAGGAATGAAAAAATGAATGGATGAATGAATGAATGAATGAATGAATGAATGATTGACGTAAAAACACTAAATGATTGAAATGAATAAACAAATTATAGTATTAACGATTACGAGGCAATCACAAGAATGAAGATGACGACGATGACGACGACGATGATGATTATGATGACGGTGTTGATGACAATGTCAAATTCTCAATAGAAGACATCTCGTACTGATATTTTAAAACCATTTGAAAATGTAGTTGCTGACCTGTTCGCTTGTTCATTCGTTCATTCATTCGTTCGTTCGTTCGTTCGTTTGCTTGTTGCTTGTTTGTTAATTTGTTTGCTCGTTTGTTTGTTTGTTTGTTCAAAATTTTGTTTGTTTTTCATCGTTCGTTGATGTTTTCAATCATTCGTTCATTTATTAAAAAGTCGTTCGCTCATTCGTTCATGAATCAATTGAATCATTTTTTGGCTGGTTGATTGATTGATTGATTGATTGATTGATTGATTGATTGATTGATTGATTGATTGATTGATTGATTGATTGATTGATTGATTGATTGATTGATTGATTGATTGATTGATTGATTGATTGATTGATTGATTGATTGATTGATTGATTGATTGATTGATTGATTGATTGATTGATTGATTGATTGATTGATTGATTGATTGATTGATTGATTGATTGATTGATTGATTGATTGATTGATTGATTGATTGATTGATTGATTGA